GGTAAAATTGAAAAATGTAATTTAATTATTACAAGGTGTCTTATATTTTTGACCAAAAATTACCTCTAAAAAATGTCCAACAAATAGATCCGAAAGGAGTACTTGCTGTGCAAAATGTAGCATGTAAGTAGAGTTGAAAATACAAGCCACTCGAATCATATGAGTTAGCCCATATAGGTTGGCGAAAATATGAGTTAAGTTGGGTTCAACTCATTTTTATATGGGTTGGAAAAATCCTAACTTAACCTAGCCCTTTAGCCAACCCATTTATTTTTTAACTTATTTTTTTATGAATTTTAAAAAAGTACATCTAAATGATAAGTTCTAATTTAATATTCCCTTATGATTTATTCTATATATACCAAAATGTTAATCTATAATGTCATGCAAAATGTATGAATTGATCCAATTAAATAAATAATGTCCAATATAGTCTATAGCCATAAAATTTTCCCTTTTATTAAATTTTTTAAGGATAATATGGGTTAAACAGGAAAATCCTAGCCTATCAAGGGAGTACATTCGATGCTCATTAGGGGTCATGAGTTCTTGGTGCTCGTCACCCCTGAAATAATCAAGATCATCTAGATTTAATCTCAATTGTCTAGATTTAAGTATTTTTTTTATTTTTTTGTATTTTTTAAATAAACATTTATAGAATTTTGAATAAATCTATTGATTACCAATATATATAGTTCATATTTATCAGTCCCAATTTAATATTAAATTTTTAATAATTTTTATGAATTGACCATACATATTTACTCTATAACGTTGAGATTCAAAACCTTTAATTTATTATACTGTTAAATTCAAAATAATTTAAAGTAAATCTATATAGTCAATGTATAAAAATTATAAAAAATAATATAAAATTCAGACCGACTTGATTAAATATGAACTGTACAAATTGGTAACCACTAAATTTATTAAATTTTATAATTTTTTTGTTTTTTAAAAAATGCATTTAGATTTGGAGCATGTAATTGTGTATATTAAATCTAGACAATCTAGATTATTTCAAAGGTGATAAGCATCGAATGTGCTCCTAACCCATTAGGGTTAGTCTATATGATTCGTGGGCTATATGATTCAGGTAAAAAAAAAACTCATTTTTATGGGCCATTTTTTTAACTTAACCCAACCCTTATAACTAGTAAGCATCTAAACATAGTAGACATTTATAGGTGAAAAAAACGCCCATTACAAGTATCTATCGTCATATAGAATTATAAAAAGAAACACATGTAATTTATAGAAAGCAATTATGTGAATTTGAGTGGAGTGAAATCGATTATTTGTCGTAAAATTGACCATTGCAGCTCATGTCACTAATAAATTATTAGATTGTAATATTTTAAAAAATTGTATGTATTATGTGTGTTGGCAAACTAAAGTTATGAAAAAGGCATGTGACTTTAATGTAATTTATATTTGAATATTTTTTCAAAAACCAGTTGAACAAATTAAAATTTATTTTGATAATTTGATTCAAAAGGAAGTTGAGATGTATAATAATAAAAATAGTCATAAATTTTGTTGTATATATATCTGTGACTCATTTGATATTTTTAGGAAAAATATTAAACTTAAGATAACACATTTTTAAAAGCAAAATTTAAGAATATAAAATAAATTGATAAATAAAAATATTAATTTCTTTAAAAGGATAATTGGATGATAAATTATAAAATATTCAATTATAAAAGCTAAAATAACTTCATAAATTATTATATATTCAATTCCAATGAAAAAATAAATTCACAAATTAAAAAATATTAAATTGTTGATGGTTGATCGCTTGAAATTTAATCCCTTGGAATAGCCAAGTCACAATTTAAGAAACCTAGTGGACAAGGAAATATACTATGTCACCAATGATTATGTAGGATCTTGAACTATTTAAAGTCTTATTCTATTATTATCTAAAGGCGAATCCACTTGGATTAGGTGAACTGTACATCCTAATTTTGATGACTATATCATTTTTTTCATTTTGGGTGGCATAAAATACAGGCAAAGTTGAAGATCGATAAAATGAAACTCAAAATCACCCCTTTTTGAATAACTAGCTAAAGAAATCAAGGACCCATACCTCACCATAGAAGGCGACCATTGTAGAAATCCAGAGACTCATAAGCTTCGGCCATGGATATTGCAAACTTTGTGGGTTTCATTTTGGAGTGTGTTGTCATTTGGAGGAACACACAGTTGCTTCCAATGGATAATTGAAAAATCAGAGGTTTGAGCAGGATTCATCACCGTCAAGGCTGTGTGATTAAGTTTTGGGACTTAAGACAAAAATTATTTAAGAGACCTAGCATATTATCATTCATCTGTTTTTATATTATTTTTTCAATTTACTAAAATCATATTCAAATTTTCTAATTTAACATTTTTAATTCTTCAAATCCTATAAAAAAAATTAAAACAATTACAATTTCAAACAAAAAGGTAAAAGAAGAACAAACACATATGACATGGCCGATATTTAAAATCATAATTAAATTTTTTTACTTTTTTGAGTGTGTTTGGTTCAAGGAGAGGGGAGGAAAGAGGAAGGACTTTTAATGGAGGGGAGGAGAGGGGTTTGATGTAACTTTATTTGGCTTAAGAGGGAAAGAAAGGAAAAATAATTAAATATGAACAATCTTACCTTCATTTTATCAATATTGTTATATTGGAGAAGTGTATTTGCATTTTTTAAATTCATCATAAAAGGTATATTGGTCAGGATATGAAAAATTTTACCCCTCCCCTCCCAATTTCTCCAATTTGGAGGGGAGGAAATTTTTTTTCCCTCTCATCTCCTCCAATTTTTCTATCCAAAAAAATTGAAAAAAAAGAGGATGAAAAATCCCTCTCCCATTTGGAGGGGAGGGAAAATTTTTTCCCTCTCATCTCCTCCAATTTTTCAAACAAAAAAAAGGAGAGGGGGCAAAATTCCTCCCCTCCAACCAAATACTTCCTTAAATAAAACTTTCATTTTCAAATAAAAATATATAATTAATATTAATATTTAATGAAAAAAATAATGATTGGTCATACAAAATATATGTAAACAATTTTAGAGTCTTAAGATAGCATGATCACTATCATCTATCATCCTTGTCAAGTAATCGCTATTTGACAAGAACCATCTTAGGTGCTCGTTAGGGTGATGCAATCTGGACTAAGATTTAAAAAATAATTAATATTTTTATTTTATATTTTTTAAAAATAAAATTTATAATCCCTCCATTCAAAATATAATGCATTTTTTGAGGAGTTAGATATTTAAAAATATAAGGTATTTTTAGTCTTTCGAGGTGTAATCATTATCTTTTTTTCAAAAGTGCCCATATTAATAGTGACTTTATATTTACTGTAAGGTGTTAATAGGAATAAATATGAAAAGATAGGGTTAGTTTGAAAGTAGGTAACTACTTTATTGAGGGATAAGATTCAGTTAAAAATGTCTTACATTTTTTAACAGAGGAAGTAAAAATTATAAAAAAGTTCTAATAAATAGTTTTTGACTAATTTAGTCCATATTTAATCTGGAGGGTTTATTTAATATTAATTTTTTATATTTTTATATATTGACTATCCAAATGTATTTTGTACAGTCTAAATTTAAAATTTTTCACTTGTAATTTTTTTAAAAAATATTTTTAAAAAGTTATAATTAAAAGATTATATATTTTATTTTTAATATTGTATTCATCAAAATAACAAATAAAAACATTAAATTTAGACTTGCAAATAAACATTTAATATCGAATATGAAGTATCCAGAATACATGTAGATAATTAATTTAAAAAGTTATAATATTAAATTAGAACACCTAAATTAAATCAATACCATCCAAATTGATAATGATGACCTTATTTATAAAAAATTAAATTTAAATTTAAATTTAAAATTAAAAAAATCTGGGCTGGATGGCCCAGATTTTACTTGATGGATGAGCAGCACCGAAGACGGACCCCTGTTTGACATCCTTGTGATTGTTTGCAATTTGGGCTTCCACTTTTGTCAAGGTCATGCGAAGGAGGAAGTCATTGTCTTTGCTGTTCGACATCCTCATCACTGTCTAAAGGAATATATTCCGGGAGTACTTTATTATCATCTCCCAATTATTATTGAATTGAACTGTAGCACCGCCTCGTACAAGTGAAAAAGAATCGAGAAAAGCAAAACTTTGTAAAAGTATTAGTAGTTCACTACACGATTTCTTAATCCTTTCGTTGGTGGAAAAAAGGAAGATTTCTTAATCCTTAAGTCCAGACCACGCGTCAATCTACAGCGAAAATTGTAAATTCTGCAAAACTTTCGCTGAATGCAGCATGGGCTCTTCTCTTCACGCAGTGCCTTCAATGGAAAATGCAAAATTATCAAATTCCAATCACGGGCTCGCGTCTTAAAAATTCACCAATCACTGTTGCGTAACACTCGTCAATACAGGGTAAAACGTAGAAAAGGTTAAGTTTTGATTCATACGAAAATTAACTTTTAAAATATATAATAAAGTAATCAGAATATTATATAACAACGCCGGTCAAACATCACAGACGAAGAACCACATTGCCCGGGCTGAGATTTGAGATTAGAAATAATATTTTGATATTTTTGCAAAATAACATGATCATTTAACTGACTAATATCTGACAAATATCAATGCGTCGAAACGAAATCTCAGTTGAGTACAAACATACATCCTACATCAACGTGGATCGAAAATTCGTTGCTTAGTGGTTGGTGGTGGTAATAGAAAAATCCGAGCTCAAGACCGGCGCCAACACTAACCGTGGGCTTTTCACGTGGCTCCCTTTCATTCTCTTCATCCGATCTGGCGTTAATTTTCTCCTTCCTTGCTTTACTTGTCCGCGTCAAAGACCTGTGCCTGAGCCCAGCCCATCCGTAAATTGCCGTGGTCGACCGGTTGTAGCCGGTGAATACCTTTCTTCTCTTTTCAGGTGCAATACGTTTCTGCCAATTTTTTCACTCACAGATAGTACTTCTTTATTTTTCCCCACGAAAATCCACGCTCTCTTCCTGTCTCATTTTCACATCTGCATTCATCTGCTTTTTCAAAAAAAAAGACCGCTTTTGCGGTGTCCGAGACCGATTCAGCTCCTTCTGAACTCGGTCCTAGGGCTTATGAGGTTCGCCATTTTCGTTCTCCGGCCTTTCTTTTCCTGTCGCCTCCGCTTGGTTCACGAGAAAAATTTGGATGGAAAAAAAATCCTTTTTCCTTAAGTCTTGCAAGTTCTTTCCTGTCTGAATCATTTGATCTTCCACGTACTATTTTTTTTTTTTCTTAACTGCTTTTCTATGTACGTTTGCTGGTTTCCAGTTGAGTACAGTCGTAGTTGGCTTTGGCATTTCTATGTTTTAGTTTTTTATACGCTAAACTTGCTGAACAATGTCGAAAATCGGTAAATTCGATTGGACTCGCGGTGGGTACTAGTCTTACTAATTTGATACTGGATGCTGAGGTTGAAGTTAAACTACGTTGTTTATACTTTTGGTCTACTACGTTGTTTAAACTTAATTATTAAGTTTGCGATTTTCCATTCCGTTTTATTAATTTTAATTTAATTTTTCATTTACTGTCTGTAGAACATGTCTCGAGTTGAGGCACTGTGGGAGAGATTAGTCCGAGCCACACTGAGGAGGGAAAGGATTGGTGATGATGCATTTGGACGGCCCGTTGCTGGAATTGCTGGAAACGTACCATCTGCACTCGCCAAAAACAGAGATATTGATGAGATATTGAGAGTTGCAGATGAAATTCAAGACGAAGATCCTAATGTCTCCAGAATCTGTACGTTTTAACTGCTTGGTTTATATTACCGCGCTTTTTGCAACATTTTGTTTTAGTGATATTCAAGGATTGGTTATTTGAGCATGGAAAGTTGCATCAATAAAACAAGAAGAGAGAGATTGAGGGAAGTGTTCTTGGTGAATTTACAATTTTAAAATTCCGGATGTTGAAAATGATACAAAACTCAGATTTTTTGTAGAACAATGAGCTTCTAAACTGATTGTCAACTTCGGGCTTTGGATTTATTTGTATAAAATGTACTGTGCTCGTTATCTTGTTTCTGTTTTATTAATTTGTTGTCATACCTTTCCATCTGGCACTTCCTTCCTTGACTTTATTGATAAATAATTTAAATATACGAAGAAAACTGATGTGAATTTGAAATGTGGATGCATGTTATCTCATATATAGAACCCGTGCTTGTACTTCATCATATTCCCCCCCTTTTTTTGTTAAACTGTACTTCACAAATATTTCTGCTACTAGTAAATTGATTTCTCTTTTCATTGGCCTTCTAGTTTTTTCAAGTGATTCAAATTTTATTCCCATTTTGCTCAGTGCTTTATCTTACATACCTTATTTACCCGCAGTATGTGAGCATGCTTATTCATTATCTCAAAATCTGGACCCTAACAGTGAAGGCCGAGGTGTTTTGCAATTTAAGACTGGTTTGATGTCTGTTATTAAGGTACGTTATGCATTGTTTGATTTCATTAGTCTTAAGTTTAACTTGGAATTTGTGCATTGTTGTCCCAAGGAAAAAAGGAGAAGAGGTAGGAGAAAGAGGGAGGAAGGAAGGAGGTAGGGAAAGTCCAGGGAAGAAACTGATAGTTTAGTTCAAATGCCTTGGGAAAAAAACTGTCATTTTATTAGTGGCTATTTATGGGGAGCACATTAGAAGAAAATAGCCTAAATGATAATCAGAAAAGAAAGAGAAAACAAAAATAGATGAAAGTTCTAAGATGTAGCAAATAACATAGAATTTCCTCTTATGCCTAGAGTAAGTCTTCTTCAATTTCCCATCACCCTCTCTTGAGCAGGCCCTGGACCGATAACCAGTATGAAGCCTCAAACAGAATCCTTGCCCAGAAGGCATCTAATGACAATAAACACTAATGAAATTATGAGCATTACGTCTGGCCAAATATCCCAAATTATTGCAAAAAAGTTGCACATTGCCACAAAGATTGACCCCCTTTATTCATTCAAAACGTTTGAATTATATATGGAGAGTCTACCCTAAATCACGTGGACTTACCCAATATCACTAAAGACACCAGACAATTGATTACACTAGAAAGTAGCCACTTGGTAATGTAGAAATAAGTGAGCTGCATTTTCTGCTCTATTTTGTACTTCATACAGATGCTCTTGGATGTTAATTCCATTGAGTACTATTCTTCAAATTATAGATTTGTCTTTTGAAGGAGCTTCATGTTTTTAAACAGATTTTTTTGAGAAGAGAAACTTCCCTGGTGGGAGATGAAATAAGGGAATGAAATTATTATTTACCACCATAATAACCAAACACGTGAAAATTCCAAATTGATGCTATCTTTAATTGGGGGGAATTTAACACTGTCAAGAAGAAGCTTCAGGGTTTATTGTTCGTTCACATCTGAGCTTGTATGATCCTCAAGTGAAACTTCCAAGATGTATATTCTTCTTCATTGAGCACAACTTTGAACTGTAGCCTTGTGCGAAAGGGAAAGATGTTCAAGGTTCGAGAGGGCCTAAAATTATTGCTGGTTAATGAATGTTAACTGGATCTTTGGTTGCAGATTCTCTTGTTCAAATTTGAATTTTTTCTTTACCTTGCAGTATATATTTTGGAAAAAGATCTGTTGTGTTTATCAATTTATCAAAATACATACACAAGTTTTGGCGAGTGATATATCTTATCTTAGTAGTATTCATTGATAGAACGCAATGATATTATGCGATTCATGTGGTAGACTTCACTTAATGAGATAACACTTGTTGTTGTTATCGTATAAACACCAAGTTTTGGTTAAGCATTGTCAAATTACTGTATTCATTTAACTTGTAAAACTCATTTGTAATGTTCATGGGAAGAGGTGATAACAAGTCCTAGGGCAAGCCTGCTGTTCTGTATGACCTTTTCAATTGTCATTGTTGTTATTTTATATTCTTTGATTTTCTTTATGCAAGTTTTGTCTCACTTTATTAAAGTTATACTCCAATGTCTTTTGGGCAGCTATAATTTATATTATCTCGCTCATTTATTAACATATTTCAGCAAAAGTTGGCTAAGAGAGAAGTTGGAACTATAGATAGAAGTCAGGACATTACAAAATTACAAGAGTTCTACAAGCGCTATAGGGAGAAGCATAATGTAGACAGGCTACAGGAGGAAGAGAAGAAATTGCGGGAATCTGGTGCCATCAGTGGAAACCTTAGCGAGTATGTTTGTGTATTAGTAGAAGTTGCCCATTTAGATGAGCTTGTGCATTCTCTGTCTTCCTCTGCCTCTTTAGACATCATTGCACCCCACAAAGTAAGAAGTTCTATAGGGCAATCTGCAATGGACGTGATTTATTTTCTCAATTCTGCATGGAGAGGACCTATTTCCTCTAAGTCTATATTTCTTCATATTGTCCATTTTTCTCTTCAATAAGTCTCCTTTCTTTTTTACTTAAAAAAGTGATGCTGTTGAATTAGTAACTTTTTTTGGGCCAAAGAATTAGTAAGTTCGATAATTGAGTTTTCAAGCATTTATGCTATAGGTTAGATAGCTGGGCAATTGATTGATAGTATAGCCAAAAAAAAAAAATAAAATAAAATAAAAATAACATGAAGGACCATTAAGCAAAATATCATTTTGATTGGGAAAATATAATCATGGACCATGAAGTATAGGAGTTGTAGCTTGTGTTATAGCACTCATATTCAGCTTCGTTGACCACCTAGATTGAAGTGGCTCCCTCCCATGCAGTTACTTGCTAACTCCTTTTTCACCTGAAGTCTCTTGCATGTCTTGATTCACATCTTTTATGTTGTGCGTATTCCTTTTGACATTTAAAATCTTTGCTGTTGAATACAGGTTGGAGCGGAAGACAGTGAAGCGAAAAAGAATTTTTGCTAGTTTAAGGGTTTTAGGCATGGTGATTGAGCAGTTGTCCCCAGAAATTCCTGAAGAGGTTAGCTTCCATTTTTTACAGTGATAATTTGAAGAGATGCACTGCTTGTCTTTCTGGAAGGGTTACCTTCAGAGTCTCTCTAATTTAGTATATATGTTTATGTGCATGTGTTTGTGTGTGTAAAAGATATGTAAGTTTATAAAGTGTTACAGTTTATGAGCTACCTATACAGAACGTAAAATAATAATTAATGGTGTAAAAAGTTGCTTTAAGTGATGCCACCTTTAGAAAAGTGTCGATGCTTTTGGAGACTCTGCTTATCATTTTCTTTTATATGAACTATGAACTATGTTTTTTTTTTTTCTTCTCTTAATCCTTCTTTCTCCTTTTTGGTTTTTTCTTAGCATTTCAAGGTTGAACTAGGCTACTTGATGGAGAATGAACAATTTCATGATTCAGTTCTTTGACTATGGTTATAGTGGTTCAGCCGGTGTGTAATATGTTTGTGTGATGTTTTATATGATTTGAAATTTATCATGTTGCCTTTCATGTGTTCATACTAGTGTCCGTACTCCATGCTTCATAGGGAGTAAGCTTAACATGTTTTCAAGGTTGATAAGAGTAGGCATGTGTATTGGACCAACAATAATAATGTTTGGTATTTGGTGAAGTTTGAGTTTTTGGTAATGTTATTAATTATCTTAACGTATTTTTCTTTTTGTTGCAGCTGAAATCTCTAATGGAATCAGATTCTGCAATGACAGAAGACTTAATTGCTTACAACATTATTCCCTTAGATGCTCCATCCTTAACAAAACTCTATTATGTCTTTGCTTGAGGTTAGGGAGTTATTTTTCTTAGTATAAAAGTTAGAGGCGAGGGAGAGTGAGTGATCAGGAAGATAAGCTTGTGTTATTGCTCTATGCACTCTGGCGTATATAGACATGCCTAGTATGGTTTACATAACCAAATGCTTATATGAACGTTATAGCCATCACTGAACTAACTAATTAATCTAACTGTATTACATTGACTGATACTTGACTTCAAATTTAATACATTATTATCTGGTTTTTACTTTAAGAAATTTATTTTTAGGTTCAAGCAGCAGTTTCAGCTTTGAAGTACTTTAGGGGTTTGCCAGAGTTGCCTCGGAGTCATCCAATTCCTGCTGCTAGAGATGCTGATATGCTTGATTTCTTGCAGTGTATATTTGGATTTCAGGTCAGCATGTGTGAGTTGTCATGCATATTTTCATTGGGATGGATCTCAATTTTAAAACCTTGAATTGTTTAGGGTTTAGCGGGAATAATGAGGCCAAATCTTTTGATATTTGCAATTTTTTTTTTGGGGTGCATTCAGATGGAGGGGCATGCCTGCATTTATTAAGATGTCTATTTGTCTGTTCAGATGTTCTGTATATATGTCTTCATCTTGATGTTCAGCTCTTATAAGTTTACCGTGGTCTCTCTTTTAAGATATGGAGGGAGATTGGATATACTGTTGCATATTTAATATTCAAAGTTTACTGCTATCTTGTTTTCTTCTCCCCCCCCTTTTTTGCGATAAACTACTTGTTTTCTTTTCTCTTCATGACGTTTCTATATTCTTTTTTCCTGTAAGTCTTATATTTCTAATTTCTTTTAATGCTTGAATTTGTCTGTGCAAACAGCAAATTGCATTCTTTCCTTTTTAATTTCCTATTATACTTCTCTGCCCCTTTTCTTTACTATCAATATTTTAAATTCTCATGTATGGTGATTTTTGAGTAGAGAAATTATTGAAGATATCAGTTGAATTAGGATGTGAAGACTTGAGCGGGATTTTTCACAGTTGTCACTGTCTCTTCTCTGATCTTTATTCTTATAATTGATCTTTTTACATAAATGGAAGAAAGTCATAGTCTGATTCATTTGATCATGTTCCGATAGGAAGCTACCAGATGCATTGGTAGTATCAATGCAAAATCACTCCTTTTCTCTTGCACCTAATGATTGACATTTGTTTTTGTCAGAAAGATAATGTCTCTAATCAGCGAGAACACTTGGTTCACCTGCTTGCTAATGAGCAGTCTCGGCTTGGAATTCCAAATGAGACAGAGCCTGTAAGTCCCAAAACCTTTTGGACTTTTTTTTTTTGGCTTACTTTGTTGAATGTTCTACAAGTTGTCTTTGTCTCACTTTTAAATGTCTTTCAATGAGTCATGAATTATAATTAAAGTGGTTTCTCGAGTACTATAATTAGAATGCTACATCGTTTACTAAAGATGAAATAGTGTGAAGCAGGCTTTCGTAATTCAGGTTATGGAGGGCTATGGGGGGGAGGTACTTGTGTTCTACTGCTTACTGAAGTAATTTTTTTCATTTAAATATTTGAAAAAGTGGAAGTGTATTATGTAATTGTAATTGTGACTTGGTCAGTTATTAGGAACTAGCTGTTAGGGTAGTTGTAAGAGAGAGAGCCATATTAGAAGCTTATAAATACTTGTGATCTCATTTGTAAATCCTATGCTTAGTCATCAATACGATTTGCATATTATTTGATGAATCTGTTTGTCTCTCTATTTCTCTCTCTCAATTTCTCTGAATCTCTCTTATTCTTCTCTATTTTCTCTTTCATACAGAATTACAATTCTGTATTAGTGGTATCTAGAGCTAAGCATTCCTTGGCCTTCTTTTGTTTTCTTCTCTTTTCTCTTTTCACCTTCATTTGATGGTTTATGGCGAAGACCTGAGGCCAGAAAATACTCAGAAAGCAATGGAAACAAGGCTAGACAGAATTGAACAATAGATTGCAGTAGTTGATAATCTCATCAATTGGGTTATTGGGTTGTCTAATTAAATTCAAATGTTGATGAGGGAGCAAGAAGAAGGTGATGAATTGCAGTCAAGGTATTGAAAATCGGACCGGTCATTGAATCAGTCGAACTAATGGTTCAAGGGTTAGTGGTTCAATCGGGGCCAGACCAGTATTGATTAAAATAATCGAATTTGAATAAAAAATCATAAGAAAATGACAAATAAATTAATAATAGCTTAAAATAATAATAATAATAATCATAAAAAAATAAAAAAATCTAAAGAACTAATAGATAAGAAAAAAAGTATTCTTGAAAATATAAAAATTTGTTAGTTATGAAATTAAGAGACAGGGATGTTAATAAATAATAATAATCTTTTAAATACTTTAACTATGTTACACTGTTACTAATTACTAATATTAAAATTAAAAATATAAAAGGACAGGTCCCAAGGAAGGTGAAGACTGAAGGGGCGGTGTATTAGTGGGAAAAAGAAAAGTTTGCAGGCACCCTAACACTTCTCAATGTTTGCCTCTGCCAACTATTTTCCTTCCAATTTCAAATCAACACTCTCTTTCTCTTCTCAAAAACTAACAGCAACTTTGAACTTATTCTTCTTTGACTCGCTAGACTCCCATGTCTTCCTTCCTTTTTTGTTTCATTTTCTCTCTTCAATTTTCTCACTTCTTCATGCTGCTGGATTTTGTTTTTCCAGTGTGTTGCAGCAATACTCTTTTAATGGTGAGTATTTTCCTCTATTTCTTTCTTCCTTTTCATCCTTCTTCTTTCTTCTTTTTTATTTCTTATGCTTCTCTCCTCTTCGTCATCTTCTTTCTTCAACGGATGAAGACTTTGAGTAGCAAAATAACATGAGTCATGAAGCTAAAGAAACAACAATATTTGGCATCCGATTTTTTTTTAAAACTCTAAAATGGCATCATTCAAGAGATTTTAACTGGAAAAAAAATTAATTCGTTAACCCATCCGACCTATTGGTTGAGCGGATTAATCTGGGTTTACTTCCATCCGTTTTAATTGGAAGACCAGAGGGTGAGTGGCTGGTTCACCGGGTTACTTGTCTGACTAGCCGGTTCGGTTTGGGTTTCCAAACCATTATTGCAATGGACCATTAAAGAATGCTTTGGGCCTTTGTGGGAACAACCTATGGGGGTAACTTAATGAGGTTGTAGTAGCAAGGGACTTTAGCATACTACAACAACGCGTTTGATTCCATTTCTTGCTAGCTGCAACTTATCCAAGAATATTTGGTGGATGCATATATTAGAGGCTTGCATGATGACTATGTTGGTCCAGTACATCTCTTTAAACCAAGAATGATACAATGAGCAGTGATCTTGGCATGGATGCGGAGATTACATTGCAAAGGCAAGCTAAGAAGAGGGCATTGTCAAGAATAGTGTGCCAATAGGTGCTAGAGCCAGTACTTAGCCTTTGCACCTCAAATATGATGTGGATTGAATGGCTCAAGAAGAGTAATTTTTTGTCACGGACGGTGAGTCCAAGAATGAAAAGCAAGACAATGTAGTAATGGATGGTGGGTTATATGTGGAGCAAGTTACACTGAAGGGGATAAAAAATACCGTTGGATGATTGAAGCTGCCCCAAGTGTCAAAGGTAAGAATGAAGATGTAGGGGAAAATTATAGGAAGAAAAGACGACCTAGTTTACATGCTT